CTTTTTGTACAAATAACTTTTTTCTAGATTATATGGTGTCTTTTAGCTATGATAAAGAAGGCATGGATTTGTGTATCACTTACGATTAGTACCAACAACAATCATGATATGCACATGATCCAAGAATGCTTCTTTTTAACATAATTTTGTGTGTTTTATGATTAAACACCCAAATCAAAGGCTTGTTTGGTAAGATTTATATTTTTTCTACTTCCTATAGAAGAATTTTCTAAAATAGTATTTGAAAATTAATTTTTAAAAGGATTTTTTTTTCCTTCGAACGAACTTTTAGAGGTAATCATATTGAATTCAAAAGTAGCTTTTGGTTATCAAAAACTCATTTTGACTTCTCTAAAATCATGTCAAACGAGCCCTAGACCCCTAGCTAATTACCCTGTGCAATTACGTGCTAAGTGTTATGGAGCAACAATGTCGCTTTTATGCCTATGGATTGATTCTCAAAAGCTTCTTTTGACTTCTCCAATATCATGCCAAACGGGTTTTAATCACCTTATGCAATTATGTGCTAAGTGTTGGGGAGCAACAAGTTTGTTTTCAAGCCCATGTGTTGGATAACTCGGATGATAGTGGTTGAATGTCATAAAACACCAATTATTACAAGACATCAATTGATTTTCAGATGAAATAATTAAAAATCAATCTTACAAGCGGTATCAGAATCAGGGTCATGAATTCGAATGACAAAGAGCCTCATGTTGAGAGAGGGATTTTAGGGAAGCAAATGACAAGGCTGGTCTTAAATTCATGAGTTGAATCACTCAAATGATAGTGATCGAATACTATAAAAGATTTATTTTTCCCCATTAGACACCAATTGATTTTCAGATGAGATGGTTGAAATTGAATCCTATAGTAGCTACCACTATATAAGTTTGATTATATCAATTCTTTGTTTTATATGATTATTGTAATATTCTTTTTTCTTAATTAAAATCTTCCCGAATGGCGACTTGAGGAGACTTCACTACGATTAATATAAAAATTTTCAGTTAAGCTAGTAATTAATCACAGTCCAACACTAATATTATAATTCTATAGTATATTATATTCGTGACTTGTTAATTCGAAGAATATTGGACCACACACTATCTTGGAGATTGTGTCAAGTGTGTATCATAATTCTTTCATGTGGATTAGGGAAATGGGCAACTCGTGGGAAGAGTCCGCTTTTAGGGGTTGTTAGGACAGCAAAATTACTAA